CCACGAACTGTGAGATCATGACCTGAGTCGAAGTCAGACGCTTTTTTTTTTTTTCAACGTTTATTTATTTTTGGGACAGAGAGAGACAGAGCATGAACGGGGGAGGGGCAGAGAGAGAGGGAGACACAGAATCGGAAACAGGCTCCAGGCTCTGAGCCATCAGCCCAGAGCCCGACGCGGGGCTCGAACTCACGGACCGCGAGATCGTGACCCGGCTGAAGTCGGACGCTTAACCGACTGCGCCACCCAGGCGCCCCAGAATTCAGTGTTTTTTGATACATCTTCGGAGTTGTTCATTCTCCACCACAATGAATTAATTGTGGAACATTTTCCTAGCCTCAAAAAGAAACCCTGTCCTACTGTGCTGTCATCTTTCAATGCCTGCACTCTGACCCCCAGCCCTCGGCAATCACTAATCTATTTTCCGTGTCTGTAGATTTGTCTACTCTAGGAATTTCACACAAATGAAATCATACGATATGGGTGCCTTTGTGACTGGCTTCTTTCACTTAGCATGTTTTAAGGTTCATCAGTGTAGCATGTAACAATACTCCATGCCTGTTTATTGCCAAATAGTATTCCATTGTGTGAATGTACCACATTTTTGTTCACCCATTCATTAGTTGATGGACATTCGGATTGTCTCCCCTTTTTGGCCATTGTGAATAATGCTGTTGTCAACATTCATTTAAAACTTGTTTTAAAGCACAAGCTTTTCTGTGGACGTAGTTTCATTTCTCCGAATCGAATGGTCTTTTAGATTAAAATTTTTAGTGAGGTTTCTTATTTCCCACATGTTTAAGGGAACTGTCATTCAGGAATTAAATCAGAAACACCACACACAGAATTTCAATCATCTTAAATATTGGGCCACTCACCCAACCCCTTGAGAATCCAGGGTCTGGCTCAGCTCTGAGGGGGAGTCCTGTTCATACACTTCAGGGAGAAGGAAGGCACTGTCAGGAGAAAGGAGGAGCTGGCTTGGGGTGCACTGTGTAGGTGTGTCCGAATTCCCCCTGGGGTACCTAAGTCTGGCCTGCCCCATTGCGGGACTCTCCTCCATATGCCAAGTATAAAGAATAATAAAAATAAAACCTTACTCTTTGGTCTGGAAATGAGAGTCATGAGGTTTGGGAAACTTGCCGGAAAGAGAGAAATTTAGCTTCCCTAATAGACGCTGGTAGAGAGTTTCATTTTCTCCCTTCCATGATGGGAGGGTTCTTCAGAGGGTCCTGCAAACCTGCCATGGAAAAAAAAAAAAAAAAAAAAAAAGCTCTACACTAATTTATGTAGCAACTTTCTTCCAAGAAATCCAGTGTCTCAAACAGTCTTTCACTGATTCCCCTTAGGGAGTTTGCACAAATGTGCATAAGAAATTACTTCTTTTAAAATTTACACTCACCCGTTCGCCAATACTGGGCAGAAATGGAACCAAAAAAGCAGACCTCCTGACCAAACATTCCACTATAATATTTTCAGTGAGCTTCTATAAATCAGTGCATATCCTTAAACACAGGATCTCCCCGTAATATCCCCATAATATCCCCATGACTCTAGCCCTGATGACTACATTCCTTTCATCAGGGGCACAGCTTGCCCCTTCCAAATTAGAATCAACTACTATGGCACGCACCATGAAATGGAAGTCTATTATTTACTTCCAATTAAGTGCTCGGGTCGGCCTTAAAACAGGCCAGGGTTCTCTCTTGCAGCTCGGCCCAACAGAGAACCCCTCAAGAATCCTGGGGCTGACTGGCTCCGAAGCGAGAATCCTGTTCACACACCACAGGCAGGAAGCTGGAGTCTAACCAGTCCTCTCCCACCGCCGTGTCTCCATGCTGCCTTGACATTGGGCTGCACTGCCCCTCAGAGTCCTACTGTTCATACTGGGGAACAAGCATACGCGGTTTCCAAAGCCCAACTCCAGTGCCTGGATGGATGACTCTGGAAAAGCTTCCAGCATCACCCGTACGCAGGGCCCAACCCAGCCCCCTCCCCCAAACCAGACATTTAGCTCCTTATGTTGGGCCTTTCATCAAAGTATTCCTATTGTGAAGTTCTCACTGCCCATCCCTGGGGCAGGGGGGAGGGGGGGGCCGGAATCTTAGGGCCACACTAGCTCATGCAGAATCCCAGGGAATCAAACCCGTAGAATATCTGTGCCTTTCCTCCCACCCCCAGAAAATCTCTGGGTCCCATAAATTCTTCCCCAGGGGTTCTCAGAGAAATGGAAGGAATTTTTGGGGGGTCATTTATTAAAATTTTTTAATATTTATTTATTTTTGAGAGACAGAGAGAGAGAGAGAGAGAGACAGAGCACAATCGGGGGGAGGGGCAGAGAGCAGAGCTGTCAGCACAGAGCCCGACGTGGGGCTCGAGCTCACAAACCGTGAGATCATGACCTGAGCCAAAGTCAGATGCTTAACCGACTGAGCCGCCCAGGCGCCCCTAATGTTTATTTATTTTAGAGAGAAAGAGAGCACATGAACAGGGGGGGAAGGGCAGAGAGAGAGGGAGAGAGAGAATCCCACGAAGGCTCCACATTGTCGGCACAGAGCCCGACATGGGGCTCGATCCCATGAATCATGACTTGAGCCAACATCAAGGGTCACCGAGTGAGCCGCCCAGGTGCCCCAGAGACTGGAAGGATTCTCTGTATCCAACTGGTGACACAAAGTTCTTACCAGTGTCCCACGCTACACCCAGCCTCGGACCTATTTTGTTTCGGCCCTCATACTCTTAACCAGCACTGTATTTTAAGTTTGTGTTAGCTGTCAACAAGGACTAACTACGTGGTTTGTTGCGCCCCGTGCAACACAAAAATGCAGGCCCTTCTTCAAATCCACGAATTTCCACATGGCCATAGCAGAACATTCAGCCAGAGCACCTGGCCCTTCCTGGGCCAAGCGTGGGGTGCCGCGTGACCACACCGGTTGTGTGTTCGTGAAATGCACCCTGCTCCCGACGTTTCAAAAGCAAAAGATTCTTAACCTCTCTTAAAAACTAAAAACATCGGTGACTCCGGGCTGCATCCCTGAATGGGTCCACAAGATTGGCGGGCGCCAGGTTACGACCTAGAGTCGTTTGCTAGGGCTACCGTGACAAAGTACCATAGACTGAGTGGCGTAGAAGACAGGAATTTATTTCCTCGCAAGTCTGGGGGCCAGAAGTCTGAGAACAAGGTGTCGGTAGAGTCCCTTTTTTCTAAGGCGCCGTCCCTTGGCTTGCCCACCAAGCCCTTGGCCGTCCCTGGCGGCCGCCTTCTTGGCGTGTCTTCATGTGGTCTTCCCACAGCACCTGGCTGTTGTCCTAATCTCCTCTTCTTACGAGGACTTCCCCGGTCACAACGGTTAGAGCTGCCCTAACGGCCTCCTTTTCACTTAAGAGCATCTTTAAAGGCCCTATGTCCACATGCAGTCGTAGCCCGCAGTCCCGGCGGCTAGGCCTTCAACCTATGAACTTTGGAGGTTGACGCGGCCCACAATGCAGCTGTTCACTTCAGAGAGGCACCGTGCTCCGAGTCTCTGGCCCCCAACCCTTGCCATGGCTCATCTGGTTGTACTGCTTCTCTTCCTCCTGATCCCCTCTCCCGTACGGAGGAACCGGTCCTCTTGTGTAGTGTATGGAGTAGTGACCCTGCGGGGTACAGGACAATGGCCTCGCGCACCCTCCACGTCCGCAAGACTACCCAAGTGATCCTCCCCGCAGGCCTGCAATCCGTGGCTTAAAACCAAAAAGCAAAGGTAGCCACTAGGTAGAGGTAAGAGTTCAAGTGCGGTGTAGAAGGACGAAGTCAATAGCCATGAGGTACAAATGACCGCTCATCGCAGTGATTCGACTTGCGGGTTTTAGGAGAGCGGACTCTGAGCCCCTACCGCATTTTTCCGGGGCCTGATCCCGCTAAAATCACCTGACCGTCCAAGGGATGGCCTTAAATTCCAGTGGAATCCCAACCAGACAGCCCCTTAGAGAGAACATACTCTCAAATTGGTCTTTGTACCTATTCGTAGAAATGTTAGCCAGATTATAGCTGAAAACTCTGCTAATTCTGGGGACGTTTTTGGTCTCATGCCTGGAACTGTTGAAGCATATATTCACACCTACCACATGTAACACTCAGTGGCATAATTTCCAGCACGACACTTTCCTACTTTAGTTTTAAAAGAAGCAGAGCAGAGACTGGAGACCTCACTCTGTTGCTTTTTGCAGGAGGCTCCATAAAGGGTGAAGGGATGGCTTCCGTGCTGAAAAGAGGCATATTTTGCCGTTTTAAAAGAAAAGGGGACACAAACACCTTTGCTCAGAATCAGGGAGCTCATGCTGAAACATTTGTACCTGCATGCCCATAAGAAAAATAAAAATAATGAGGTCCGAATTTCGAGGTTCTCGGAGAATAATAGTGTGGCGATGAATAAATCCCAATATTGGATAGAGCTTGAGAAAAACTTTAAAAGCCATCTTAGTCTAACCCCTTTGGTTCTAAGCCAAGGAAAGGGAGGCTCTGAAATATTTAATGACTCGCCCCAGACCAACACTCTTCCTCAAATGCACGTCTTTTCTCTCCGGTCAGTGGACTTCCTACCCCACCAGGCTACTTTGAAACAGGTACTGTCCTGTTGACTTAACTTGCACGTAAAACAACAAAAATCCTCCTTCTCTGAAACAGTCTCGATTTAGACCCCAGATCTGGGAAAGCAAAGGCTATTTCAACTTCCACTCCCTTAGCAAACAGAAGAAAAGGCATCTGACTGACCCGTGGACTTTTCTGGCTGGACCCTGGTTTCCCCACCCTCAGGTTTCTGCCGCAGCGAGCGGTGCTGACTGCCAGTCTGACACCAGGGGGCGCAGCCTCCTTTGTCCTGACACAGGCATTGAAGGCAGGCTCTCTGAAGTCTCAAGTCTGGCTGGGCCTCAAAAAAAAAAAAAAAAAAAAATCTGACTTTCCCTCCTTTCACGGTTTCTCTCTGGAACCAGCCCACTCCCCAACCCCCCTCATTCATCTTAAAACCGTTTTTTTCTTCCTCCTGGACGCTCACACTCTCCCTCTGTACCATCTCAGATCTGTGCATGCTGCAGGGTCTTGTGCATGTTTCTAGAAGCGCTTTTCAGAGACACCAGCCCCTCCCCAGCTGCTCCTCTTCTGGAAGAGCCCACGGCCAGGGCCCGTCACTTGCTCTCACTTGGAGCCCCCTCCCCGCTGCCCTCCGCCACCAATTCAGGATTTTCTAGCAATTCTTCCAGAATGAGGAACTCTCGAGGACAGGACTAGCTTTTCCTGAAAGAATTATCACACGCATCCTCTAAAATCCCTCTCCTTTCCACTCACAAAAATAGTTGCAAACAATGAAATGATCGGTTCTGGGAAGCTTATACCAGCGTTCACCCTCTCTGCTCCTGAACGTCTAACATCAGCCTTTGGTGGGGGACATCCACCCAAAGGGACAGGCTGAATCATCCCTTCAGCCGTGCTTCTTACCCACCCACTGTGCACCCCAAGCCGGGAAGTGCCTCCTTCTGCCTTCACCAACTTGGCTCTCTGTGTTCTCCCGCAGAAGGAAATCTTCATATTCACCGCAGCCCCTGATCCCAAAGACTCAGTGTTCCCATGTTTCACGGAAAAATGAACATCCCCTTCCACCTTAAGATGTACTTCTCTACCTGCTCCCATATGCACAACACCCAAAGGCAAATCCCCATATCCCCCAAGCACACCCTTTTGCAAACAACCCTGAACATTCACCATCTTGAACTGAAGGGCCGCAGGGTCCTAACCAGACCTTTGAAAAGCAGCGACTCTATTTACATAAAGAGATTTCAAGTTTACAGTCCACCCCCACCCCCGTCCTCACCCCCTCCCACCCCCTGTCACCCCGTCTCTCATTTGAGCCTCCCAACAACCCCGAGCAACAGGCAGGGAAATCTGAAGCTGAAGAAGTTTGCCCCAGTCCCAGACAGAGCTAGCACAGGCTGCAGGCAGCACTGGGGTGACAGCAGCTAGGTGACAGGGACACAAAGAAAGCTGTTTGTCCATTTGCACTGAGGCCTGGAAGGAATGCAACCCTCACAAATGGCCGTCAGGTTACCTGCACCGAGAGAGCTTATGGTCTCAGCTCCCGGAAAACTGTAGCATTAGCAGGTGCAGGTGGAGGGGAGAGGAAGGGGTGACATGAACTCTGACTTGAGCCTTCTTATCTGTGGCCTCGCTCCTTGTCTCTCCCCACTCCTCGCCTTCCCTAAGGT